TTTAACAGATTTTTCCGGAAAATAAAAAGGCACAAAGCACAAGCAAGGAAAAACAAGTATGTAAAAAAAAAAAAAAAATAACCAAAAGACTTTTTAGCGATGCTTTCTCTCTCCTTCCTTTCCAATCGTTTCCCAACCACTAACCTAAATATTTGTACTTTGAGAATTACTGCAAATATTTATTTGACTCATTTCATCTGCTGCTTTTGATTCATCTCAAGAGCTCTTTTTTTCTAGAAATCCACGTTCTGGGCATCCCAGTTTGCTCAGCTACAGGATGGCCACCATCCTCTGCAAACTGCCTAGCTTCCATGGAAGGTGGGAGATGTTGCCATTTCATTACAACTGTGAGACCATGAGGGGATTCTAAATAAAATTAATGCACAAAAGGCTGAAGCACAGAAGGAATTCCAAATTGCACAGTGAGTTAAAAGCCAAGTCGAGTTAATTTAGCACAAAGAAAGAAAGAAAGAAAGAAAGAAAGAAAGAAAGAAAGAAAGAAAGAAAGAAAGAAAGAAAGAAAGAAAGAAAGAAAGAAAGAAAGAAAGAAAATAAGAATACAGGGCTAGGCTGGTTTCCTATTTCTGCCCAAAGCATCAAATTTCCAAACCATAAGGTTCTCTGCCTCATTCATCTGGATTTCCTCCAGATTTTTAAAGGGAGCTTCTCCTGTGATTAGATGCTACTGCAAATGCTCACCTTGACTTACAGACTTCTTCTGGAGTAATGCCTCCGGTTTCCAAAGGATCCGATCGTTCTGCATCTTCGCTGGATTGACATTGAAAGGCTTTCCTTTTTACCCTGTAGGCTAGGGGTAGGCAACCGTGGCTCTTTTATGACTCGTGGACTTCAACTCCCAGAATTCCTGAGCCGGCATGGCTCAGCTTGGAAACCTCTCCTTTTCCCCTCTCTCTTGGGTCCCTGCAAGTGTGGTTGAATGCAAGGCAGGACAAAGGCCAAAACAAGCAAAGGCCAATATGTAGCTTTTGAGGGTGAGGAGGAACCAAGAAACCCCCTGATTCCCCGGGGGAAGCTGTGCCGAAATCCCTGGGGTGCGCTTCCACCCCTGAGGGAATACCAAGGGATGGGAAACTCATAGCTGTCCACAAAGCTTCTCCTGGAGTGTAGAATTTGGAATTCAGGGCAGCCAGTGACTAAAAGATTCTCAAACCGAGGAAGCAAAGTGATGGATGAAATTGCTTCGCTAATATTGAGGTGTGTCAATTGGGGGAGGGGGGACTTCAACTCCCAGGATTCCCCAACCAGCCATGCCCTAACCCAGTGTTGGCGAACCTTTCAGAGACCGAGTGCCCAAACTGCAACCCCAAACCCACTTATTTATCGCAAAGTGCCAACACGGCAATTTAATCTGAATACTGAGGTTTTAGTTTAGAAAAAACAACTCATACATTAACATCTTTTGTCTTCAAAGAAAAAAACACAATAACAAAGCTTTCAATGATACAAACAACTTTTTACTGAAAGGTAAAAGTTTCCATTTGGCATGCTTTTGAACAATTCATGTGATTTTTGCTGTTGTATGCATGCTGGTAGTTTGTCTAACCTTGGCTTATACTTTGTAAATTTGAGAGCAACACATGCAGCACTCAAGGTCCTCTGTTCGTCTGTTTCTGATGTCAGATTTGATATAATTCAAAGCTGAAAACAGCATGCTCGCTCCGGAGGCTTGTTTTGGCTAGGAAGGGGCTTGAGAAACGGCTTTTTCCTGTGAAAACCTAGCCAAAGAGCGAGGCACGTGTGCCCACAGAGAGGGCTCCAAGTGCCCCCCCTGGCACACGTGTCATAGGTTCGCCAACACTGCACTAACCTGTTGGTGTAAATCAGTTTCTTCAAACAGGGCAACTGGGTGAGTTGAGGTCCACCCATCTTAAACTTGCTGAGATTGAGAAAGGTGGTCTAGGCCAGAGGGGGCACTCATAGCCCTCTCTGTTGGCACGCATGCCTCTCTCTTTGGCTAGGTTTTCACAGGGAAAAGCCGTTTCTCAAGCCCCTTCCTAACCAAAACAAGCCTCCGGAGCGAGCGTGCTGTTTTCAGCTTTGAATTATATCAAATCTGATGCCAGAAACAGACAAACAGATGACCTTGAGTGCTGCCTGTGTTGCTCTCAAACTTACAAAGTATAAGCCAAGGTTAGACAAACTATCAGCATGCATACAACAGCAAAAATCACATTAATTGTTCAAAAGCATGCCAAACGGAAACTTTTACCTTTCAGTAAAAAAGTTGTTTGTGTCACTGAAAGCTTTGTCATTGTGTTTTTCTTTGAAGACAAAAGATGTTAATGTATGAGTTGTTTTTTTCTAAACTAAAACCTCAGTATTCAGATTAAATTGCCGTGTTGGCACTTTGCGATAAATAAGTGGGTTTGGGGTTGCAGTTTGGGCGCTCGGTCTCTAAAAGGTTTGCCATCACTGGTCTACAGTAGTGGCCAAAATTGTGGAAAAACCTTTTGGGAAAAGTGTATTTTTGAGGTTTGATGGCTTAATAACACCACTTTTTTTTGGAGTAGTACCATAAAATTATATATCAATGGAAAGATAATTTAATCAAGAACGTAATGCGACATAGTTTGTTCAATTATCTGTACTGTATTCTATGAAAAGGTATAGCCAAATAACCAAAAAAAGGAAGCACAACTTGCTTAGGTTGATCTCAGGTAGCTTTCCTTCGTCTGATTGCAGCCAATGAGCGTGAGTGTTTAGAGAGCCAATTGGGTGTCATCTTGTTTTGGCAATGAGCAAATCAGATCACAGTAGGATTCAGTGATTGATGTCCTGTATTGAAGCTGAGAGGAGAACATTGGTCAGTGTGTTATGTGATCGCTATCAAGTTGGTTGGGTTTTTTTGAGTTCTTTCATTGAGTGAGCTTGTAAAAACGTAATAAAATTAAAATCATGGTGCAAAGAGTTGACTGGTTGCCCAGAAAGCGATGTAAAATAGTATTATTAAGTGAACATAGGCTACAGTTATAAAAAAATGAGAAGAAAAATGGGTGGAAACTTAACCAAAGGTGGCATTTCTACTGTACGCTTTTCCCAAAAGGTTTCCACAATTCTGGCCACTAGTGTAGGCTAATATCTGCAGTGGAAATTGCTAAAAGGGCCTTCTGGAGCTGTGTGGTAGCTTCTTTGTTGCAGGAGAAGGAGATTTGCAGAATCAACTGATCCAGCATCAGTTCTCTGATGCTTGAAATGGGATGGGTGAAAAATGGCCAACGGAGGGGGAAAAGCATTCCGCAAACGTAGTGGGGTGGGTGCCTGCGTCTCAGCCATTAAATAAATTAGCAGGATGGATTTCCTTAGCATGTTGTTATATGTGAGCTTCATTCTCAAAGCCCCTCCTGTGCTGAACAAACAATATATTTCTCTTTGGGGGGGAAAGAGTAACTTTAAAATAAAAGCAGGATTGTAACGCTGACCTTGTCTCCTCGGTTTTAAATAGTTTTCACGATATAATCAATGGTAATGGTGTACATGAGGTTTTGTTTAAAGGAAATACAACGCCTTAATTGTACTGCTTAAAAAAAAAGTATTGCATCAGAAAGATTCATTTAAATACGTTTGGCTCCAGGCTCTCTTCACAATTCATTCATGCCGATTTTCCTCTTGGACTCGTTAGGAATGCAGAACATAAAAAAGAAATCAGACTTGCTGGATCACAACATTCTGTCCCCAAAGCTTACTTTTATTCAGAAATCTCAGCTGCCAACAAACTGCTTCCTTTTTATTTTTATTGTGTAAGTTGCAACTACGAGCCCATTTAAAGGCGAGGAAAACTCCGTGCACAGAATCGTTGGAACCCACCGATCAGTGTAAAGGCGCATGCGGACGGCACATACAAACTGTGTTTGGGACCAAATGGCTGGACTTTCTGAGCGGGCAGCTGAATTCAGCTGCCGAGCCCCCCAAAAGATTGAGAAGCTGTTGGGAACAAGCAAAAATTTGGGGGGCAGCACTTGGGAAACCCCAGCAAGGGAAAAGGCAGGGATGGGACCTCTTATGCTTAAAGAAAGATGGAGGCTGCTGGGGGATTTATCACACATGTTCAGTCATTTGCCCTTCCGACAAAGGCCTCCACTTTACCATAAGTATGAATGTTGCGTTTGTTTTCATATTTTGAGACACACACGGTTGAACCTGAGTGCTCTTTGCTTATATAATAATGATAATGATGATGATGATGATGATGATGATGATGATGATAATAATAATAATAATAATAATAATAATAATAATAATAATAATAATAATAATAATAATAATAATAAAGTTGGAAGGGATCTTGGAGGTCATCAGTTCAACCCCCTGCTCAGGCAGGAAACCCTATACCATTTCAGACAAATGGCTGTCCAGTCTCTTCTTAAAACCTTCCAGTGTTGGAGCATTCACCGCTTCTGGAGGCAGGTTGTTCCACTGGTTAATTGTTCTAACGGTCAGGAAGTTTCTCCTTAGTTCTAGGTTGCTTCTCTCCTTGATTAGTTTCCACCCGTTGCTTCTTGTCCTGCCTTCAGGCGCTTTGGAGAATAGCTTGACTCCCTCTTCTTTGGGGCAGCCCCTGACAGATTGGAAGACTGCTATCATGTCCCCCATCGTCCTTCTCTTCATTAAACTAGACATACCCAATTCCAGCAACTATTCCTTATATGTTTTAGCCTCCAGTCCCCTTAAGGCCCCACAGACTGGGTTTTGCTAGATGGCCCAGAGAGATCCCTCTGACGTCTCCCACTGTCCCTTTTACCACTTTTACCACCTGTTTTGCCCTGGTGGTCGAACGAATCCAGCTTCCCCCTCTGACAAAAAAAGTGGTCACCCAACTTGGGCAGCAGATCTGAGAAGGACCTCCAGCACTTGGGAGAATAACAGAGAAGAGCCTGAGCCTTTGACTTCCTTTCTGGGAAAACGCCATCAGCAAATGAGGAGCATTGCCCTTCTACAAAACCTCTCTTGCTTTTTTCTCCTGTTTTGTTTCTTCTTAACAGAAAGTGGTAGAGCTGGTCAGTCCCACAAAGACCCCCTTTCCTGCCCCCTTGGAAGAAGGCTTACCCAGTGACATCTACTCCACGTACCTAGCTCTGACTCCAGGGGAAGAGGAGGAGGAAGAGGAGGTGACCAAGGTAAGCGGAGGTCTCTGGGGAAGGAAGGGAGCAAAATGCCAAATGCCATCTTGCCATTTCCGAGCACCTTCGTTCCTCGGCTTGTGTGCCCAGCAGTCAGGTTTGGCGGCCTTAAACTGAGAGGTTGTCCTGATCTGCTCCTTCCCCCGTGAAGCTTGGAGGCCTCTGAGCAGCCAAAAGGGGAGCTTGCCCCAGCCTGGGCATCTTCTCAGCCCCAAGATATGCCCCTTGGGGTTCCTTGCATCCCTTCACTCACATTCACACATGCGTTCTCTCTCTCTCTCTCTCTCTCTCTCTCTCTCTCTCTCTCTCTCTCTC